ATGGTTACTTTATTAGTTATCATTTCTATAAATGTACTAGTATTCCAGTGAATTCATTAAAACAAAAGCATATTTAATGATTTACTTTAAATCAAACATTTATTTAAACAAATTGTCAAAACATACTTACATTTAAGGGCTTAGCCTCTTTCCTAACCCCAATCATTGTTATACACTTCCTTACTGATAAATACGACTTGCAGTTAAGCATATTTTGTCTCCCTCTGTCTGAAACCAGAGCCCAGTCTGCCCTGATTGGTTAACTGGCCGGCTCTGTTGTGATTGGCCAAGCACTTAGAGAAGTCTATCACATACTATGTGTTGGAGTGCTAGCCAATAGAAGCACTAGTGTTACAAAGCGATGTCACTATGTGGCAGAAATAAACACAGGAGTCCAATTAAGGTGTTTTAAGCAGGTGGGAGAGAAGCCCCCTTTGGACGGAACTTTGGGATATTAGCCTTTACCGACAATTGAAATGCACAAAAACCTATATACCACACTACAGGGAAGCGAAACTCAAAATACATAATAGGGCCCCTGTGATCCTTTCCTTGATTTTGAGGGACACAATCCTGCTATACCTGTGTCTAAGCACTTGTTTATGTTTTGCATGAGGCCCAGATGGGGATCTGTTGCTTTCCAGATGGGAGAGAAGGAGAAGACATGAGATGATGGCAGAGCTAACCACAGCCAGCCCAGAGAGGAGTTCACTTTAATTACTAGTCGTTGTGTAGATGTTGGCCTCAGCTTTGTGCTGTGCTGTGTTAACCGCTCCACACTTCCTGACCTGCTCTCAACTGTTTCTTCTCTCTCCAGGTCAGACACACACACACACACACACACACACACCACACACACACACACACACACACACACACACACACACACACACACACACACACACACACACACACACACACACACACACACACACACACACACACACACACACACACACAGACAGACAGACAGACAGACAGACAGACAGACAGACAGACAGACAGACAGACAGACAGACAGACAGACAGACAGACAGACAGACAGACAGACAGACAGACAGACTTGTATCCTTAGTCACGCCTTGGCTCCTTGTTATCTGTTTGCGATGACTGTGCCAAGTGGAGGTTCAGCCAGGGCAGGAGGAGAGTCGGAGTCATTACACCTCCTTCTTTAAAGCCACCACACACACCTCGAAAGACTTTCTTTGAAACAGTCACACACATGCACACAAACACTTACACACCCTCAGGTAAAGCTAATGACATCTCAGTGGTAGAGAGCCACGCTTTTATTTCCAACAAGGCTCTCTGAACTCAAACGGGCAACGTCCCAAATGAATTTGCCGTTTTTTTCCCCGATCGGCCAGTTTCTTTTGAACACCTCTCTGAATTGGTGGGCCTGCTCCAAATCGATTAGCTGACCCTCTCCCCTCCGCCCTGCTTGACACCACCTGGCTGATATAAAAAGAGCTGGCATAAGCCCCGGCCCCCAGCGAGACCACCACTCAGCCTTGTTGTGGAGTTTGACTGACTCACAGTTGTCCTACAGGCCTGCGGTTCTTTTGAAGTCGCCCCATAGAAGATGAATAGCGTCCCTCTCCTCCTTGCAGATGAGATTGTTGGATATTCTCCCACCTGCCTGTGTGCCCTTGCAAACTCTCCCTGATGTTTTTCTGGGAATTGAACCTTACTGTCAATCTCAGGGCTCGGTGCCACTGTACTGCCTATTGCGTTTTTTTTCATTTGAGCCCATTTCCCACATTTTTGCTTTTCTGCTAGTGTAACCTCACCTCCCTCTCAGTCCCACACATCACAGCGACCACACACACACACACACACACACACACACACACTCACACTGAATTTGTGGGTAAAACATCCACATTCATTAGGCTAATGCACAGCTGTGGGGGAAAAAAACCCTTTTTTCTGGTGTTTTTATGATTTATCGCGCTGCGGAAATATGAAATTGTGTATACGGGATATTAGTTATTTAAATGATTTAGAGGTCGGCATACTGTAGAGTACTTTTCCTCCTCGCTTCTTGATTTATGGTTATTGCAGAAATGAGAAATTGAGTATATGAGTATAAGCATATTACCTTATGATAATATAAGTAATTGAAGAGATTTAGGAGTCTGGGGAGGCCGGGTGTTGCATACACAACCGGCAATAAGGAAAATGGAAATGGCAGCTTATCAGGCTGAAATCACTCTCCAAGCAGGGGAGACACATCAGTAAATTTGGCTTTTGTGGCCGGTGCCTTCATATTGTTTGGCTTTTGATATATTTGATGGTGTATCACGGGGGCGATATGAAACGCAGGAGTTATGAGATGTCATATTATTCAAGTTAAGCGGATGTGAAATATGTTGATATCCAGTTGTTGTCGTTAGAATATTGTTTGGGTATTCTCGCACGCCGACAGGTTGCTGAAAGATATTCCAAAGCTGTGCCAACGCTGTAGCCGTAAAATAACCGCCGCCGTTATATCTGCTTGGGTGCGTTATCCTTATTATACTTTCCTATTACTCTAGGAGGAACAGATAAGGGTGATAGGTCAGCCTTAAATGGATTTGGTTTCCTCTGGTTGGGTTCCCCTGCTCCTGAATGACTCTGAGCAGCGCCTTCAATCAGCGCCACCGCTCACTGTGGTAATGATGGCCGGGGCTTCATTAAGAAGCTCGTTAAGTCCCCTCGTTAAGCTGCAGGGCCGTTAAGACTTTGATTGTTAATGGCTCTTCGTTAAAAAAGAGTGAATCTCCCATGGTGGTCCCGACCGGCCTGCTGTTTTGTCCAATTGGCCCCAATTGGACCCTACAGTATATAAGACACAGAGCAAGTCTAAACTCAGTGTAGGGTTCAAATGTAAGGACTTTTTCAGTGAAACGAGTTCACTGAAAAAGTCATTTCAATAATATCCAATGTGAAAACCTCCACAGTTGGCAGCAGCAACCTTTGGTTAAGTTTATACCTCTGACCTTTTATACAAAAGAAAAAGCCAGGCGGAGATAGTTTTGACAGTAACCCGACCTAATAGCTCACCTTAATGGCCTATTGTTTTCCGTGAGCATGCTGCTTTGTCTGTTACGAAATAAGACTTGTGTTTGTTTGTTTTTCTCCTCGCTGGTGATTTCAGGCGATTTAGCTCACACAGTTTTGCGCACCCAGCACTGATTGTACACCATTTCCTCGTGTCATTTTGAAATATGGCAAAATTGAGGCTTACACCTGTTTGCGTGAATGTTTTGCAGCAGTGCTTCTGCCAGGTGGCTATTTGTTTGCTTTACTTTAACTACACATGTATAGATGGGGCCGTCATTTAGTAAATATTGAGCGTAGTCAAAGTTATAGATGGTGTTTTTTGGGATAAATAACCCAAACATCCATCCTTTCATCGTCAAACAATAATCTAGATTCAGGTCGCGATGGAAGCAGTTCTCGCAGAGAGAAACCCATTTCTTCGCCTGTTACTCGCAATCTCGTTTTTTCGGTCATGACCCACCCTTCATGACCATAGGTGAGAGTATGAACGAAGATGGACCAGTAGATTGAAAGCTTTGCCTTCTGGCTCAGCTCTTTGTGTGTCACAAAGGTTTAATTAATTCAGAAGGACAAATCAAGCAAGAACAAATGTCTGAATCTTAATAGTAAAAGCTAGTTCTATTTCAGGTGTATATTAGGTCTATTTCTAGTAAAAGTGCACACTGTTCTCACACAACACTCACCATGGAGCATAGATTGCTTTCATGTTTCCCGATTTGCATTGCCATTTCAATAAAGGGATCTTTTGAAGGTGAGTTGTTGTTTACCTTTTGACTTTGTGCCAAATTATTCACACCATTCTACCTTTCAACTTTCAGACATGTGTGAACTTATGATTGCTTTTCTTAAACAACCTTGTCAACATCCATACTTATCATTTACCCCCCGGAAAGCCGGCATATCCAATGCTATCCCCCCCACCCTGAACAAATACCGATCCTCAAAGTAGACGAACATTTCGATTCACAGTATCCATTCTCATTTCATTTAGTACATTTGCTTTAGCTGTTGCCATGCAACAATGCTTTCCTGAGCTAACCCCAAAACTCCCCTCACTCCCTGCGTACCTGTCTCTCCGATCTTCTCTCCATTCAAAAGTCACAATGTCACACTTTCTTGGATTTGGCGGCTAATTTGGCACTTTTTTTTCTTGGTTGCTATTCGATCCACGTAGGTGAGGGGTAATGAGATTGAATCTTGGTGTTCAGGGCGCATCCCGCTGCCGTGTCTCTCTTCGGGGACGGAGGACAGTGTGGAGCCTTTCCTGATATTACCTCTCGCTGCATGAGAGGACGCTGGGCGCTCCGCTGCTCTGCTATCACCCAAACCGTGATCCAATAAAGCTCAACACGAGGCTGTGATCGATTCAGCTTGTCCCGCTCCCATGCACTGCTATACTCTCCTCATACACACCTATTAGTTAGGGAATCATTGATTGGCCTACTGTTCATTATTCCTTTGATTTGGTGCTTTCATTAAATTGCCACGGCACTGCATGTGCACAGACTAGTAAACTCCTGTCGTCCACAGCTGCTGGGAAGTGAATAGAGGCTTTAAGAGCGAGCAGGGGAAAAGTGATCTGGATATAATCGGGTATCTAGAAGATCCTGGTTCATAACTGCTCAAAATGCATTAATAGAGACACGAGACACAGCATAATGAGAACAAATATGTGTGAGGGAGGGAGGTTTTGTGGGTTTTTCTTTTGTCTGCGTCTGTTTAAATTCATCATATCCTGGAGGCATGCGGAGGATAATCTGCTTGTTTTGTCTTCAATGCCTTGTCTCGAAAAAACAAACTTAATTTTTAACGGGTGTTTACTCTTGTCTTTCTCTCCCACCCTAATTTTCTCTTTCCACATCTTTCCACTTTCCATTTCCTCCTTTCTTGCTTCTATTTTGCTCCCTTCCCCCCGCTCTTCACCCCACCCCCCCATCCAATCTTCTCTCACCTAGCTCCACACCGACATAGACAGGAATGATGGACGCACTAAGTACGTCCTGCGAGGCGAGGGGGCCGGCTCGGTCTTTGTGATCGACGAGAAGACCGGCAACATTCACGTCACTAAGCCACTGGACCGAGAGGAGAAGGACGAGTACCGCCTCGTCGCCACGGCCACCGACAGGCAGACGGACCGGGCCCTGGAGCCCTCGTCACAGTTCATAATTCGGGTGCAGGATATCAACGACAACCCACCTATCTTTGACGACGGCCCCTACATCGCCATCGTGCCTGAAATGGCAAATATAGGTACAGAAAAAAGGGATGAGAAGTGGAGGGAGGAGGGTTTTGAGCTCAAAGTGTTCAGTGTGAAATTAACATATAAGACATTACGCAATAATGAATAAATATGAATACATGAAGTAGAATGTATAAATATTGCATAAATTGCGTAAAAAAATTTGCGGAAAAAATAATTAGCGGTATTATTGAATATTATTTTTCTTTATAGAATTTTTGTATGTTTTAAAAGTATTTTTTTAAGTCTGTCATTATTACTTATTCAATTATTCCCAATGGCTCTTTTATTGCATAATGCACATGAAAGTGCAGTTGTCCCCAGTGTCCACCCCCCCTCACCTTTTAGCCAATCATCATACTCCCCCAGCCTTTAGCAGGCTAATTGCATGTTGCTCACATTTAAGGAGCTAAGCCTTGTAAGCTAGTGCAACAAGATGCTAAATGATTACTGAATTAACCAACTTGAAGCTATACCGCATGCCATATTCACAGTTGGAATACAACAATGAACCTATAATTTAGCTTAAGAACCCCAGCTAAGTTGTTGGTTGGCTTGTGAGCCTGGGTTTTATGGCATTAGCATTCATGTTAAAAGCTAATGATAGCAACAGCAGCTAGCCGCTACATTTAATGTTAGCTCTCTCGCTATCCAAAATCACTCTTTTCCTTCCTGAGCAAATTGCATTATGGGATTATTAGTTAACAGCACCATTAATTTGCTTAACTATGGGGTAAACATTTGTTACACAATTTGTTAAGTGGCATTATTAAACAAAAGCATTGAATAAATATTAATATGTGTACAAGTTAAATTGGAAATACAAATTATAAAATGTATTTCTTAATAATAAATTGGGCTTTCAATTGTTTTAATATAAAACATAAATACGTATATATGCGTTATTTGTAGGGATGGGTATCGTAAGGTTTTAACAGTACTACTACTTTTATCGATACCGCTTATCGGCCCGGTCTTTTAACGGTAGGCCTACTCTTATCGGTTTTTTTGGAGAAAAAAAAAGGTAAACTAACTAAACAAATTGTGAACAAAACTAACATTGCTTTTTATTTAAATTAAATACATAATATTTCACATCAAAAGAAACAACAATGTTTTAACAAATCGTATTAAATAATGTGATGACAGAATTGTAAACAGAATAGCTGAAACTTTAACAAAATAAATAACTCAGTTAGCTCTAATCATTAACCCATGTTTGTATCATTGAGTTAGCTCCGTGTGTTGCTGCTAGCATACATAACACCTGACGTGGAAACGTTACTCGTGGATGGGGCTACAGAGCTACTAGAAAGACAGTCGAACCCGGTGCATTTCTCCGTCTGAATGTGGTGCACTTTTGATAAATGTTTAGACAAATTGCTCGTGTTACCGCCCTTACATGCTAAACTCTTATTGCACTTTTGGTAACGAGCATTGTCCACATCGACACGGGTAAAGTTTAACCACACCTCGGAGCGCGTTCTCTCCGCCATCTCCTCCGTGTGTGTGTTGCTGCATGTAGCCTCCATGCATGCATGTAGCAGCCGCGTGTGTGTAAACTGCCCCGCCCCCTCGCAAGCAGACGGGGGAGAGAGATAGCAAATAATAAAAATAATCATAGACGCATTTTGCAGTCGTTTTGCGTATTAGAAACGGAGTTGGTGGCACTAAAACTGCAATATAATGTTTGTGTAGCAATAATACACATAACATATATTTTGTAGATGTCTCCAGTACCGATAAAAAGACCGATAATGTTGGAGCTTAACGGTACCACGGTCTTTAATAATTCAGCCCCTGGGCCCGTTAATACCGGGGCTCGGTACCCATCACTAGTTATTTGTATTAATTTATTTCATCTTCATCTTTTTTTACTTATTTAATATTGAGCCCTTTGAGAGAACACACTGTGCCCTTGTACCCACTAACAAATCAGTTATTTTTTTATAATCTAATCATATTTACAAGTGAAGCTGCTAAAAGCTGTCCCATTATGATCATCTGAACTCTCTGCTGTGATCTGACATGCTTAGCAGCCCACAGAAACCCAATTTGTTGTATTACATGAATACATTCCACCACAACGCCATCTGCCATTCAGACAGCAGTGAAGAATTACATTTTCCACGATAGAAAGATGATTACATTTAATCTTCAGACCAGAAGACAACATGGTACCGCTATTATAGTCTGACCAAGTAACCTTTGTACAAAGCTCAACATGAGACAACATAATTCTAATCCTGGATTTAAAGAAGGGCTCTCCTGGTTCATCATTTGACAGATCACAATTTGTCCTGGACACTTTTTTCACATACATTTCTTAATCTCATCTTTCATGTTCCTTCTCCGTTGTGATTGAGTAATGAGGATAAAAACGATAAAAAATAATCCTAATAGCTGGGATAGGAATTTAGCTTGATTGAGTGGTTTATTGAAGTCTCATTCTGTACACAAACTAAGGCTGTAGCATTTTATTGGTTGGCTGTTTAATCAGAACAAAGCACCAGCCAGTCACTGCTGTCGAGCTGCAGAATGATGAATGTCCCACTTGACCACAGCTAGACAGTGTGTTTTATTATTCCTATCTCAGAGGGCTGCACTGTCTGTAGGTATTTTATTCAACAGCTTCAAATTGATACTCACAAGAACTGTGCTGGAGAGAGATATCAATAGTTTTCAGCTAAATTAAATCAGTAATTGACTCAGCACTGGAAACCTCTTTCAGATTAACTCTTGCGTAAACACCTGTTATTCAAAGCAATTGAAGTGTGACATAAAATTATATTTAAAATACAATGAAGCTGCAGCTATACAGCCGTTATAAGACATTACTGCAATAACATTACTGCCTGCTAGGATTTTACTCGCATTGTGTAACCATTTTACCTTGAAGAATTTCTTCTTTTTGTGCTCCTCCATCTCTTGGCTTTATTTTCAGGCTTTAGAAAATCTAGCCTGTGTCTTGAGAATTTAGCCAACCACAAGCGTTTATAGAGAGAGATTGTTCCTAGTACAAATGTACAAATCCAGATTCACATGCGCATCCCTTCAGACTGTGAAAGTACGATTACAGCCAGGTACAAACCCCGTATAAAAACATCTCAAACATTTCCATTAGCAGAAACGAGCTGCAGGTCCTAAAATGTGTTTTGCACTTGTCGGCCACCGTATAAAAAGCTTGATATAATGGTGTAGTATTGCTGCTATTCAAGCGTTGGCAACAACTGCCTGCACTTCAAAGCAACCCAAACAAGGTTAACAGATTTATCAAACAGAGAGTCGGATAATTTTTCAAATGTAGAGTAAATGTTACTAATAGTTTAGCCTTCCGTTTTTTGGATCTGGCCAGAAGGCTATGGCTAAGAAGACTAAACTATTAGCCACTTGTTGTCTCTATCTCTAAAACACTTTGCCGATTCTGTTTTAAAGTATGCAGGGCTTTGTTGGACAATGAGATGCCATGTTCTTCTCTGCACTAATGAGAGACATGCTGAGCTTTAATCTGTTAAATAAATAATACTTATTAAGATATATATTTTTTTCAACTTGGGTGGTTCTTATTAAATCATGAATCTTCAAAGTTATCTAAAAATACTTCAGGCGCTTTTCGGGGACTTAGTGCAGCAAACACACATAAATGGAAAGATATGATCATTCATGTAAAAAAAATGAACAGGAAATTATTTTAGGCTACTACTAAAAATGATGATAAAATACAATCAAAATGTGTTTTCCCATTAATAACGTGTTTGTATCAAGTAGGTTTTCATTAACAGCTCTTATATTAAAGGTTAAGTTCCACACACAAGGTGAGAACGAATCCGTAAAATGTAATGGTATGTATTTAGTAGTGTTGACAGTTTAATTTTCTAAGCCAAACTGATATGGTATTCAAAACAAGCAACACTGTACCCCTCGAGCGATTTCCAAATTATAGCACTTAATTTACTGAAATATAATTAAGTAATAACAGAGATTAACCTGCTCTGGCTCTAATGAACGAACAGCTCGGTGTTGCATGTCCATACGATATGTTAATAGCAGGCCTCTTTGATCTTTGCAGTGTTTTCACTTTAGGCTTGCAGGCTTTGGAAAAGTCAAAAGCACTCTGAGAACCACTGTGCAAACATGTACTAATGTAGGATATCAGGCTGGCAGGTGCAAAGAGGAAAGTGAAATATTCCCCTCTGTATAGATTCAACACAGTTGTGTGTCTATGTAGCACAAGTCAAAATGCAAGGATCTGCCCTTTCCAGATTGTAACACCTAGATATTGCTTCTAAAGGACTTTCAGTGCATATATAAACTAAAAGCAGCAAAAAGTAAAGGGCATTTGCACTGGTATTGTTTCTTTATATATAAGCCACATGCTTTAGCTCCCTTGAAAAATCTCCATTCTTAAATATACGATACTGTACGATAAGATAAGGTACGGTATGATAAGACAATATACGATACGATTCAATAAGATACGAAACAATTACATAATATTTTATTCTCACAACAATTTATTTAACAAGTTATTTCTTGCTTCAAAGTAGCGCCATTAAAAACTTCAACAAGGGCACATATTAAAGAAGGAAACAAGGAAACAGACATTCAACAAAGCATTTCAATTACTGAGGACAACATGCTCAAGTCTCTCAAGTCTACTTATTTCCTGGGGATTTAACTGTCTTCATTTGAGGATTGTCTGGTACACAAAAGAGTGCTTCAGTCAATCTTTATTATATTTCGTGCGACTCCTGTATCTCTGATCAGATGGTAAAAATTCATGTTCCCTGTTCAGGACAAGGTTGGGGCCAGACTCAATGTGATTGGTATGTTCATAGTTTCCAAAACACTTGAGATACACATTTATTTTTATTAAGAAGGACATATTTTCCTAATCTTCAGGTATAGGTTTGTATTTTGTGCCTCTACAGTGACATGTTTCCTTACTTCAATGTTCAAAAAGCTCTTTATTATTCTCACACTGCCTGTGCTGCAGCACCTCTTTTCACCCTCTGTCTGAAACCAGAGTTATTGGAGAGAAAACTCATCTGCTGTGAACGTTGGGATGTTAGCATTTGAATACACAAAAACCTTTTCAAGCCGTCTTTAAAGTTTGATAGAGACATATTGCATTTAACAGACTGTTTCTAATCCTATGGTGGAAATGTATCTTATAAGTTCATGTAAGTTAAACATCTTACATCAGACAGTTCATTTCTTTTTGTAGAAGTTTTATGCCAGTACTCAAATGCACTTTTTGTGTTGGCAGCCAGCAGGTCAGGCGGTGCCGTTCAATTTTATGACTCTGTTGGCATGAAATTGCATCTCTGTTTCCGTCTGCTCAGACCAGACGGAGTACATTAGATGGCTGGAGCTGGAGGATGTGCACACACGGACCTCGCTAAAACCCGAAAAATCAAATGCAAATTGGAATACAATTGCAATGCAATGCAGGCAGAATCTGTAATGCACTAGATAAATGGGTGATTTTTAATAACACTGTCACCACAGCTGCTCGTAGGATGTATGAGGTATTTTCCCCTTTTGTTGATTAAATACCTGTAGACACCATACAGCAGGGGGAATGATGAAGTGCCGCCCCCCCCTCCATATGCACTCTCCAGTTTAAGATATGCAGAGTTTGTAATTATGCCCAGGCTTGTGTTAATAATATGCTTATTATCATTATTATTATAATGGGGTTATGGAATTATGCCCCAAAACAGAGTATTGTTTTCAATGCAGTATTTGTAATTTCATTGTAAATGCATGGTGTATAACTAACTGAATATATTTATATTCATCATTTGAGCGTAAAATGTACAAATGGTGCAAATAGAAACAGCTTGTGTTGTACTCCATAAAAATAAGACATCATCTTGGTTATTAGTGATTATTCATATTCGAGCCATGTTGCTGCCCTGGGATAGTTTCTTTTTCCAGAGAAGAGCAGTTTTTCTCGGCTCATTAGGAAACAGTTGGCCGTGTTTAAACGGGACACGGAGCTGACGGGTTGGGCCGAATCTGCAACAATCCCTGGCTCCACCTGCGAGTAACAAGCCTCTTTCACACGTTGCAAATTCAAGAATGAGTTGGTCACACCCACCTGCACTGGAACCCTGTGTTTGTGCTTGCAGCCACTTTCAGGAAAATAGAGCACTCCGTATTTGAAGTAATTCACTCTGAAATCCTTTTTACTGTAGCAGGATTTGTGGATTCTGAGAAAATGAATAAATTGAGCCACTACTGCGGTAAAAAAAAAAAAGAAAAGTTGATTCCAGATGCCTCAGGTGTAATGTAGATTTTCATAGTCTACCAACTGTAGGTGAGGGTTAGAAATCACTATTAAACATTGTCCTGTTTCCTGTTGACATTGATGGCGGTGTCTTCGTATCAGATAATGTTTACCCCCAAAACCCACATTACACTTAATCAAGTATATTCGTAAGAACAGAGCGTGGTCATTCTTTGTAAAAGCAGAGAAACTGTGGTTGGATTGCTTACAAATGTGCCAAATGGACGTCTTCCCAATTTAATCAGAAATTATAGAGGATTATATATTTATCTTCCCCTTTCAAATACATCAGTTTCGCTTGAAAAGCTGCGACGGAGCATGCCACAGCCACAGTGACCTGATAATATTGCCTTGACTGAAGCAAGATCATGTACAGAGCGACAGGAGTGCTTGGAATGGGAATCCAGGAAATGAGAGGTACAGTGTAAGGGCAGAGACGGGGGAGGCTTTTTGCACTCATATTGCAGTGAGATGTTGGAGCGACAATAACTGTCTGAGATTGCAATTCAGGGCATGACTGCAGAGTGCCTGTAGGAAATAGTTTGTGTGTACAAAAAGTACTCTAATCCATTTAAACCCTGCTCTGCCCCTTGAAAATGGCTTACACTCTCACCTTTTAAAAGCTGGCAGAATTGCTTTCAGGAAAACTTTACAATTGGCCGGAAAAAGGGGTTTTTATTTTAAATAATTCCCCCCTAAACAGGTTAGTCCAGTAAATGTGGCCCTGTCATTTACCTCTGAAAGGTTGTTCCGGAACACAAAGGTCCCTGCCGCACTCCATTGTTTAATTCAGATCAGAATAGTGAACTTGCCAGGCAGCCTGCCGATGAAGACGAGCACTATTTAGTAATCTTATCAGCTTCCTCGTGAGCGTCTGCTCCTCATCGCGCGGCTCAGTCTTCAGATTGAGTTGTTCAGTCAATCATGGATTCAATATTTACTTGACGATTCAATATTTACCAAGGCGCTTTGCAGCACGTGCGACTGAGTAGATAGCGCTGCCGTGAGGATCCTATCAAACACTCGTTACATGAGACATTTAAGGGCGATGGTGGGGTGGTGTCGGCGTCTCATCTACGGAAATGAGACACTGATGCAAGGTGCGCTGGAACTGAGACAGCTCCCAGCTTGAAATTCGTGCCTGCAAAGTGTTTTGTGTCTGTTTCACTCGGCTGGGTGTGAACGTCTTGCCAGATGTGTATCTGCATTTAAAATGTGAGAGTAAAGATGATACTTGTGTGTGTGAGGACAAACTAGGCAATGACCCTTTTTCCCAAGAGGACAGATGCCTTGTGCTGTGCGTTCCAGATGGATGCATGGCATTGTGGGTATTTGATCCTTGTGCAGTGCGGCTGGCTGTATACTGTAGCACGGCTGGCCGGCTGCATACCAATCGGTTTGCCTCCTCCTTGCACTTGTTGCGTCAACCTCAGAGCCAAACTGTTTGATCCCTAAGTCTGATTACTTTTCTCAGCTGTCAGAAGAAACATTTCTATCTACTTAAGCCCCCCCCTGCACTAATCTACAATGTCTATAGTGAAACATAAAGGGATTCAATAGCAGACACTGTGTGTGTCAGTCTTTGAGCATAGCCGGTATGGTGAAGGAGTCCTTTGAAATAACAAAAGAAGGTAGATAGTGCTGTGATATTTTTTTAGCTGGTTAGAAAATGTATGAAATGAAGAAAGAAATCATAACCGAGCAAGGACTAAAAATAATATCCGAACATCGAGAACACACATAAAGAAAAATGAGGTGCCAACTCTTGTGTCTCAGTTATACTAATTGTTGTAAATGTGTTTTGCAATTGGTAATCAATTGCAAAACACATTTACAACAATTTATTACCAACTTTATACTACAGGATTAATGCTTACTGGCTTTCTTGCAACATCATGTAAGATCTCCTTTTCGTATTTCATTGCATTGTTGTTGTTGTGCTCATAGATCTCACAACAATACAGTATGTTATCATCATCAACAGAAACTGTGGGTAACGCTAAAATGATGTGTATGGAAGATGTACTCGCATCTGTTCTACAAATGATCACATTGCAAGTTAACTCCTCCTTTCAACTCTTACTCTATAATAAAGACTGGTAAATCAATCATCTTTAAATGGGGCCCTTTTAAGCTTTTGGGGGTTTGGTCTTCAAGCTAACCAATCAGAGCAGACTGGGCTCTGGTTTCAGACAGAGGGTGAAAAGAGGTTTTAATAATAGGGCCCTTCATTTAAATTAAAGTGCTATGCAGATGAGCAACGCTACAAAAATAGAATCCACAATGAAACTAACTGGTATTCTCTTTTCGTTTGTCACTATTTAGAACCTGCTTAAATCGATGATGCTGCATTGAATCCCAATTTGAATTCAATGTAGTTCAATATGCTTTATTTGCATTTAGATAACAAATACAATATTGCCAAAGTGCTATAATGACATTGAAAACATTTTAAATACCTCTCTCGCTCTCAAAAAAGTCAGCAACACAAAAACAAAAGAAACATAGAAAGTTGTGCAGGTTAGATTGGAACGTTTCTACATTTCACTTTAATAATCTTTAAGAAAAGAAAAAAATGTATCAGTCATATTGTCACACTCTCTCTCTCTCTCTCTCACACACACACACACACACACACACACACACACACACACACACACACACACAACACACACACACACACACACACACACACACACACACACACACACACACACACACACACACACACACACACACACACACACACACACACACTTTCTCTTTCTCCTTCTAGATCGCTCTCTGATGCAATATTTGCCGATTTCACATCTGCCATCTGTCAATAACCAATCTGATTCTTGACTACCCGTAGTGGATCCCTTAGCAGATGATCTTATACACCGCTCCGTGCTTTCTGTACACACACATACACAAACACACACAAACACAAACACACACACACACACACACACACACACACACACACACACACACACACCACATATCTTCCCCGTAGTGATACTGTCATGGCTTTGATTAGAAATAAAGTAGCAGCTGCTCCCACAGATCCCCTTCTTCCTCCTATCTCGTCTGGCTCGTGTCCCACTGGGGAAATGTCTGTCTCCCTTCCCTTGCATAAATATAGACATACTATATGAATACACGACATATGAAATGTGTTTACAGTTTTTATATGGTTTTTCCGACAAAAAATGTCGCTGCCAAATTGACACTCTATGAGCCGTAGAAGAAAGATTTAAGGGAGAAGAAGTCCGTCCTAGAGACAGACGGTCCTATTGAGAGAGGCAGCCTGAAAGGAATTGGAGACGGAGATGAAGAGAAATGAAGTGAGACTGAGGGAATCGAGGGGGGTGGGCACCAGGAAGAGGATGCGCGCGCGCGGGGGGGGGGGGGGGAATAAAGTATTTGTCACACTGCCATTGGAGGGAGATTGAAAAAGAAGGAGTGAAAGTGGAAGTTATATTCAGAAAAAAGCTTTCTTATGCTCAGAAAATGCTAAAAATGTTGTCTGCCTAGTTCTAACTCCATCCTTCCTTTCCTCCTTCCTTGCTCCCCCCCCCTTCTTCTCCCCGTAGGCACGTCTATAATCCAGGTGACAGCGACAGATGCTGATGACCCAACCTACGGGAACAGCGCCAGGCTAGTGTACACACTGGTGCAGGGCCAACAGCACTTCTCTGTCGATCCCCAGACAGGTGAGTGTGTTTATCCATTTGTGGAGTTGTGTGTGTGTGTGTGTTCCCATTGTTGAATAAAAAAAGCATGAAGAAATGCAAAAGAAAATTCGAAATACACACAAGCTGCAGAAAAGCAAATATAGTCAAGATGTCGAATTGCAAACACGCCTGCTGTGTGTGCAAACAAGCACATTCAAGGCCTCAGTTGTGAACACACTCACAGTGACACACATACACACACACACACACACACACACACACACACACACACACACACACACACACACACACACACACATTCAAACTTACTCTTTTCCCCCTTGTGCATCCCTCGTTCTCTTGTCACACTTAGTCATCCATCTTTCCCACTTCCCTTTTCCCTCCGCCTCAAACACCCTGGTCTCAAATGCACACACTGTCTCACGCACACACTGTCTCGCACACACACGTATCTCCCCCTCTGCCAGTGCCCCCCACCCCCTATCTGGTTCCCTCCAGTATGAGTAGGCAGAAATGTATTCATGCTGCCAGGGCCTGTGTGAATGCAACAAAACAGAGCAGCAGCCTAATGTTATTATTTCTGGATGATGCAAAAACAAAAAGACATGTGTTCAAAGAGAGATGTCAGCGAGGGTTTGTGAACTCTTCGAGACGAGATTACAGGAGGCTCAAAGAACCTGTTTGCCGCGCGCCTGTCTCGATATGCCTCCGCTTACCAGGGAGTCACCCCAGGGCACAAAGTTTTAAAGGGCGCTTTTACTTATTTTTATATTTTATTTTATTATGATTACTTTTTTTAGCACCGTACCTTAGAGGGAAATCATGGCTCTCTTGCCTCAGAAATGGAGCTCTAACTATCTGACGCTTCAGATGCCGCTTTGATTGACAGCCCACGTATAAACACTTAGCATTTAGCTCACGTCGAGGCAGCTGGAGTCGTTTTTTCGTCTGAATGTGGGAGTTCGAGTCTGCATGTGAGCGTTTATTTTGAAGCCACAAGGGTCACAAGTGGCCGATACTTGTGTTCTGCTCATTGAATGTCAATGTTTAGTAACTGATTGCTTTGACACGGGAGGACCTCTGCGACAAGCCAAGAGAGCTGCGGCAGCTTTTTGAAATGCTAATTGGCGAATATAAACCTAATTCTGTCGAGTGTGTATTAGCCGTGACACTGTGCCTTAGTATTCTGATCGTGTCTGCTCTCTTCTTTTTCGCTCTCTATCTCCCTTTTTCAATCTCCCTGATGCCCGTCGGCTTCATCACCAAAGGTCTTTTTCAAAGCGTACCCCCCGAGGCGAGCACATTTACCCGTATATTCGGTTGGTTTGCTTACAAATTCTGCCCGCAATCTACACAAGCTCCTGATGTTTGTTAGCATTAAAAAAACGCCCATGTTGAATGTGATTCACCTTGAACTGAGTCATCCGGGCCTTTGTTTGTTTGGCAGATGTTTGGCGAGAGAAGCCAGCACTTGATGTGGGACATCCAATCATATGTAGCTGAATGAGGTCATTTACACAGAGCAGGTGATCAATGTCGAATGTATTGATGTGTCTCGGTGTGCTGTTGTGAGATGCAGAACGAGATTTTACGCTCCGTCAGCATGTCTGGCTGTCAGCGATGGGTGATTTATCTTTCCCATATGAGCTTCTTCACATATCTGTGTTTATATGTGTGTGTGTGCCTTTAACGGGACATTAAGTCATGTATTGTAGCTGTCAGATGGAAACTGGGTGTCTCAGAAAAAAGCTGTCAGATTGTCAGGAAAAGCACTCATGTCTTCAGCCTGATGACAAGGCGCTTTGATATCGTCAAATAGGTTTGAAAGGGCTTGAAAAGCCCAAGAGGTCTAAGAAGAACTTGATCTGTCAATTAGAATGAAAGCATTTTAATTTCTATATCTGAAGCTATTGGATTTTTACACAGCAGAGACCATTACCATTGATAATTAGTGAGGAACCAACCACACTGACAGGTTTATTGCACATCTAATGCCCCTTTCACATCAACGCGTTATCAGCTCCGGCTCGAAGCTGGAGCCTGAAAAGTACAGGTTTTTCCTGTTCACACCGCAGAGGCGCCGCCTCTTAGCGCCGGAATCCGGTTCACTTCCAGCTCCAAAAAATTGTCGGTCTAGAGGCAAGAGCTTCGGAGCTAAGAGGCGGCGTCGCTTACGTCTCTCTTACGTCGAGGCGGGGGCAGGGGCAGATTCGTCGTTGAAGTAGATGCTGAAGACCACAAAGAAGTCTTGTGGTCATTTCGCATGTGATGTTTGCAAAGTTCCTTGTAAAGTCGTCCCTTGTAAAGTCGTCCCTTGTAAAGTCGTCCGATGCCTTCCATTTCGTTTCGTAAGAGGATAACCAAAGCGAACAGCGCTTCAATACAATCGGCCATTGTTGTTGTTGTCGATGTGAGGGATTTCCGCGCGGTTTGGATTTTATGAAGCAGGCACGTAAACGGTGACGTCATGACGCAGCAGCAGCAGCTCTGGGCGGTGTGAACAGAGCGGGAGCAGAAGAGGGAAACCGGAGCTGAACCAGAAAAGCTCCTGCTCGGAGCTAGAAAGGGAAAAGCGCTGGTGTGAAAGCCGCATTACTTGTCTAATCATAAGGCATCGTTTGGAAAGGGTTACAAGTTGTGAATAATGGATTTACTCATGGCTACTAAATGATTTATTGTTGCTTCATATGAGTAATTATTGCTTGAATAAAACTGTATTTTTGAGGCGGATACAACATTGATATTTGAAAAATATGATTTAGAAAACACTTTTTAAGTTCTTCAATCATGGGTATTTTGAGTGCCCACATTCCACAAACTGTGAAATACGTTTTTTTCTATCAAATATAAATAATCTAATATCAAATGGTTATACCTTGAACCATCTGTTTCACCCAGAACCTCCTTGGAGGTCTCAAACCAGAACCGGGTGCTAACACAAATTCAAAGGGTTTCATCAAGATACGGTTTTTCGAATCAACCTTGAGGGTTCTACGGATATTGTATTCTACAGATTAGGCGGATAGATATTCAACCCCACATATTCTACTTGAGGGCAACCTCAACCCCCTAACATTAGTTTTGCTTTAACATGGTACCTTGGTGCCACAACAAGAACCTTATCCAGTAGCACCAGGCTTTGGAACGCACTTTAAAGGGTAGCAATCAAAGCATTTGGAGTGTTAAAGCTGGGCAGATCTTTCAACACCCAGGCATCCAACAATCATTGAAAAAAAGAGCATGTCAAAAAACACACATTTGTCACATGCAGGCCAAACATAGCAGAATTGGCTTTTTCGCAATGGGGCTTAAAGACAAGTTAATGCGGCGCCTTTCAGACAGTGGAGACAGGCAGACTCAGACAGTATGAGTATCTTTTTTTATAATTAAAGAATCACATGTTCTAAGAGAAACCCAAAATACAAGTATGAACCTGAAAATTAGAGCGATATTTCCCTTTAAACCTTTGGATTGCCCGTTTGTAAGAAACTACATTTTGCTGCAGCCTGACTTAGTTTGTCTTGTACCTCTTTCATCATCCGAGAGCCCTCAAATGAATCGTTTTACAAGTTACCCTTTCCAGAAGAGCTGCAGAGCATCTGGACCAACCTCCATGAAATAACAACTTATTACATTTTTCATTTCAAACTGCAGGCTATGGCCTTATTGTAAAGCAAAAAACCTGTGACCTTTTATTGATGACTTACTAATATAACTGTAGTCTCAATGAAGCCTCTAATGGGGTTCATGGCTTTCTTAGTTTATAATAAGCAATCATCTGCTGTTAAACAAGTTCATAAGCCATTAATAAAAGGTCACTGTGTCTGTTAAGACTCCAGTCCACCATTTTATAGGTCATCTACTGTAGTTGAAGTCAATTGGGTGTGCTGTTTTACGACTGGAACACAGTTTATCCAGTGGCCTCTGAAAAAGGTCAGGTGTTTTTCACAGGACTTTAGCCATAAGGTGTTAGTAGGTCATTAATAAAAGCAATGTACACTACATTGTTAAATAGTCAACTAGCTGTATTGATAGACAACCGAAATGCCTGCTGGACCTAAAGTTACTAATACAAATGACATCCACAAAGCATCTCAGAGGACATATGATGCTCATTTTCAGGTTCATATTTGTATTTTGTGCCTCTACTGTGACATGTCTCCATGTTTTAATGTTAACAAAACTCAATTGTTCTCATACTGCCTGTGCTGCAGCACCTCTTTTCACCCTCTGTCTGAAACCAGAGCCCAGTCTGCTGGCAGGCTCTGTTGTGATTGGTCATCTGCTTAACCTGTTCAACCCGGAGGCCGCCGCCCGCATTTATTTTTCACGAAACTGTGTCTCATGGCTTCTTAACATTTAAAAAAAAAAAAAAAAGCTCCCCATTGACATCAGGACAGCAGATAGCTTGCACATCTTCCGGCGCAGACTGAAAACTCATCTTTTTCGACTCCACTTCGAGCGATAGAATTACTAAAAAATAACTGCTAACAGAGCACTTATATACTAATACAGGACTGGCTTATCTATAGCCAGTTGAGTAGCACTTGAAATTGTTGGCTCTATGAAACCTGATGTACTTATATGATTCTGTTTTCTTCAAGGTTGTGTCTTCCTGGTCAAATGTACTTATTATAAGTCGCTTTGGATAAAAGCGTCTGCTAAATGCGATGTAATAATAATGTAGGCCTAATGTAAAAACCTATTAATGTGTCATACCCGATTAACGGGAAGAAACTCAGCTAACTGACGATACGAACCATTTTTACCGAAACAAAACACAAGTCTCACAAGAAGCGTCTAAATGAGCCCTGAGCGAAAAAATGCTAACACACTTAGCACAGAACTCTAGGTATAAATACCCTGATTACATATCAGATCTGCACAAACAAGATATCGATTAGCAAGCTGAGATTTCACAGATTCTAGGGGTATAAATATCATCACTGAGCGATCCCACCTTGCAGCCAAATGACAACAAACAACAACAACACAATTAGCTTTACGGGACCAAATCGGAAAATAAGTCTTACCGTTGTTGTTGTTCTGATCAAAAGTTGTGTTCAATGACATTAAAACGATAAAAATGCTGCTGAAGGTTAATCTATATGTTAATCCAATGTGTCTGTGTCACTTTGAAATGATTACTGATCCATCATTCAATTTTTATTTCAATAACGGAGATTTCCTATTAGCTGCTACGATAGCCAGAGTGACAGCTTCCGGTTCCGGGGCATTTCTGGCTACGCATCACTCTATTCACCAATGGGTAATGTTTAGATGGATTTTAGGAACTTCCCCTCGATTCTATTGGCTCTAACGGTTAAAAAGAGATGTCAATCATCAAAATCGTCCGGTGGGTTCCAGAGATATGGAAAATGCACCCAAATGACCCCAGAAGTGTTTTTTGTCTTTTCTAAACCTCTCTAAAAAGGTCAAATTTCTTGATACAGGGTACTTATTATATGTTATAGTTTGGATTCCTACTGTAAAGCTTTTAGTCTCCAATCCCATCATTCAAGGGTGGTTTTCACTATAAGTAATGTTTTTATTTGGACTCACACTATAATTTAAATTGTTTTACTATGTTCAATCTGAATTTACTTTAAAATAAAAAAATGATATATTGATTCTGACTTTTCTACATCCAACTCACAGGTTTATCATTGCTTTGAGAAAAAAGATTATTAATTTACCTCTTTTAGAAGTTAAGTTAGTCAATTGTTCTGGGAATGTCATTTTCGAGCCTGAGGCCTGAAAAACAGGCTCAGGGCTTAACAGGTTAAATATGTCCCTCCCCTTAGCCAATGAAGTATAATGTATTGGAGCGCTAGCAAATAGACATTACGTAGTGATGTCACTATGTCAATGGAGGCGTTTCAGTCGGAGGGGGGGAGTGTGTGGAAGAGAAGAACTTTGAGATTTAGCCTTTGCAGACTATTTACATGCACAAACACTACAGGAAAGGGAAAAGCACAAAAAGCACAAGATGATTTATCAACCATAAATAAGGTCATTAGTTACAACTTGTAAACCTATAGAATGCTTGATTAGAAAGTGAAACCTAAGGCTTAGTCAAGAGATAATCATGATACAAATAAGTTGTGTTACCATTCTTGCTACCGTAGAGGACATTCCATCAAAAATGAGAGTAGGGCTGGATGAAATCCCAATGTACAGCTTTTGTTCCAAAACAGAGCACAGGCCACAGAGTGTACATTGGAAGCCAGCAGGTTCAGCGCCTGGTTATCATAGAGTCATAAATATTGATCAAAAAAACATTCTGTACCCCACAGATATATTATGGTCATTTGGGGGCCGTTTCGCAAGAGGAAAGCGTTTATTTCCCTTTGCTCGAAATGCTTCATCATGGTCACCGTGATGCTCACGTTTGTGTGTGTTCTTCCACCAGGCATCCTGCGTACGGCCATACCGGACATGGACAGGGAGACCCAGGACCAGTACCTGGTTCTGCTCCAGGCCAAAGACATGGGGGGCCACCTGGGTGGATTATCTGGGACCACCACCGTCACTGTCAGGCTCACTGACGTCAATGACAACCCACCACGCTTCACCCAGAGTGAGTTACTCAGCAACCACCCACAGCGAATGAATGATAAGCGACAATAGACAGGCAGCCAAACATAATAGAAGGAGATGACTGTATGTTGACAGCCTGCTCTTCCTGTATGCACACAAATGCACGGTGATTGTGTGTTTTCCCTCCCACCCCGGCAGCATCACACATTCATACACTCACCATGTTGGAGTTTGCCAAATGATCATTTCTGTTTGTTTAACCCAGCTTGGAGTACCATATTGGTAAGGCTTTTGCTCATTAGACGTATTCAGCATCATCTTAGAAGTTGCTCTGCTTGTGTTAACTTTCTAGTACTCATTATATGGAGAACGCTATGTGAAAACAAACACCAGGCTGCATAAGAGCATAAACACATGCATCGTTGATTTTGCGCCAGGCAGCAGAAGACTTCTCTGACCTTTTTGACCCGAAGGTCCTGTCAGGATTTCACATTCAGGCAGAGAAGAGTCCTGCCGGGCTGCAAAGTGCCTCATCAAACATTCACTCATGGATTCCTCTCACCTCTGCAATGATAAATCGGCTTCTTTCTCCAAGTCCCGCTTGTACATTCATATCTCTAGGAATATATTTCTACAGCAACTCCATTCAGGCCAACCTAATTGGCTTCTCAAATGACTCTCTGATAGCATTTAACTTAATTTCACTGTATGTGATCATGAAGTCAATGTGTGGAAAAGATATATGAAAAAGGTCTTCCTCCTGTGTTGCTGCGTGACTATAGTGTTGATAAATTAAATTGAATTATTTCAGAACCCAGTGTACTGTTGCATTAGAGTCAACACAATTTAAACCAAATTAGTAATTTAGATAATGGACGCTGCTCGCCATGAAGATTTCATAATCGAGTTAAATTATTGGACATAATTGTCCTCATTGAACATTAAATTGTAAATCATTCTTTTAGTGGTACAGAAAGAGGCTGAGCAGCTCTAGCCTCTCTGCTGTTGGATACACTGATGTGTCTCATTGGCCAATACCTTTTTGTCAACCTTCCTAATTGGTCCTTTATTACCTTGAACAGGACATGCCAGTTAGCCCCCCTGTGAATGAATAGAGAAAGCAAGCGGCCTTGACGGCCAGTGTCATCCTTTATTTAATGTAATCTCTCTACCAGGATAATTGCTGACTCTTTTCCAATTAAAGTGGAAATAGTTGACACTATATTGCTTTTGTACAATTACATTTCGGTCTGATTTTTAGAAGGGCTGACGGGAAAGATAACTTTTTTTTACCATTACTGAAATTAAGATAACAAGAGATATATCACGTATTTCACGGAGAAGTAAAAATTATTGAACGAGGCTGAACGATTAGAATGAAATATCTCATTGTGGTTTTTTTTTCTGAGCAGCAAGATCATTGCAAATTAAAATTGTTAATTTATTTTCAATAAATCAAACTCAAGGGTTGTAGTTATGGTCTTAATAGTGTTTTTATAAGAGACATATTTTCCAAATGAATTAAACAGGATATGACAATGCAGTTGCTTGTTGGTAAGACCATTGGTCAGAATAGTCCACTTACTGTAGTAGACTTGGCTTTTTTTATTTTCGAAGAGTGACGGTTAGGGCTAGGGTTAGATTTAGGGTTAGTTTGATACATTTTAGTCCATATAGTAATAGTTTACTAAAATGTACCAGAAGTTATTTGGATATAATCAATTAAAAGTCATTTTTATTCCTTTTTTACATAGTGTGTTATCTGAACGTTACATATACTTGTTTCATGATGGTATATAACTAACTTACTCTCTGAAAAATTCAAAATTCAAAATGGAAGATGATCATCAATTCTCGAGCAGGTTCTGCAGCAATAAGCAGCGTCTTAACTCAATGATTTCTAAGTGACATTTATTGGCGATGGACACTGTAGATAATGATATCCCGTGAGATTGTAAGTCACACTAAAAACTGTGTGTCTAAGGTCTATGTGTTCAGATGTGACTGAGTTATGACTCCGAGAAGTTTGAGTTATGAGGCAAATCGCGGCATTGGAGCGCTAATGGTTCTGAAGTACCTTAATAGCCTCCATGATCGGGGTGTCACAGCCGCCGCTGCACATCCAACTGCTGACTGTGTGGATAAGTCGGCCAAGTGAGGAGCCAACATACAATAACGAACTTCAGGTTGATTTCAGAAAAACGATGTGAGCCTGTCGCTTTCAGCTCATGCCATATCTTTGCCTCACAGCTCTCTCGTCTGCATATATAAAACCAAGCAACCCGAGAATTTCCTCCAGTTGTTCGGCCAACTCCGAATGAATGTTAATCATCCGGGTTGGCAACAGTTGTCATTCTAGCCGGCCAAATCAATGCTTGGTGACGGAGACGTTCACCTCCTACAGCTTGTTAAGACACTGTTAATTATGTAAATAAGAATTTAATGTTGCAGTTTGAAAATCACACTCTTTAAAATGCACTTAAGATATCAAAAGAAGTACAGAATAAATCAGTATACATCTACATATAACTGTAATAATGAAACACTGTACAATGCTAGTATGTTAGATTTAAAGTCATATGAACAATTGTTGAGCATGTTATATTGACTATTGAGACTGTTACATGAACTTTTTGTGAAAAACGTACCCTAACTAACCCTAGTTGTACTGCAGAATACTTGGAGTACATTTACACGGATAATTGTCCGCTAAGGTGCCCTACCTGGGTCAACTTAAAGGGGCAGGTAATATAAGATACTTTTCTTCTCCCTGCTCCTTTTTGGGTATGGTGTGTTTATAGAGACATGTTTTGCAAATAATTGTTATACATTAAGTTGTGCATACCATGAACGGAACAAATAAAAATTAAATGTAAGGGTTAGAGTTTGAGAAAGAAACAATACTTAATACCAATATTAAAAGATCTTATCCAAGTCTTTCAATCTGGGGTTTTCAGGAGCAGGTCAACATAAAATAGCAAAGCAGAGTACACGTCAATGCAAGGTAAGAGCAGTCAGGACCTTGATAGACTTGCAATGAGGGTTTATTCCAATATACTGGCTTTATTGCCAAGATTGAACTAATGGTGGCCTGGGTTGGGAGGTTTGTTGGTCGGGTTGAACCCCTATCAGGGCTTGGTGTTTTGGATGGGGCTGCTCTGAGGACTGGAGGGCTTCTTGGAGGGAGAACTAGGCTCATTCTGATCTGTCTGGGTGACGCCTAGTGGTGCCAACACCTGCTGTGAAGCATCGCGTCCAACCACTGTTGTCTTGCTGATGACTCCCTGCATGCATGTTCTTTATACGATGCATTGATGAAAGGTTAGCCCACAGTTTGTGTGTTGTCCTTTATCCTCTATCCTTTTTTTGGCATTCCCCTTTGCTTGCTTGAACACCATTACCATCAAAGCGAGTCACTACTCAATTACACACCAAGGCTTTAAAAAAGACACCCTCGAATCCGGCCTTTTCGTCTCGCAAAGTCCACACTGACTATTCCTTGTGGTATTTACCAGAGGGAGATGATGACAGTATAGTGTACCAAACAGGTATCGACTTTACATATCTTAGCTTGAAAAACAAGGTAAAGCAGGTCTTGCTTTGTGGACTTCTCTTTTTACAGCATTGACAAATTTCTCCCTATCTAAAATATGATTCCAGGAACTAAGTGGGTTTTTAATGTGTACAATTTTGAATGCTGTCAGGGGACTTTTCATGCCTGGAGGAGGTAGTATTGCAGAGGGAAAGTAGGCTACCATGCAGATTTAACTTGTTGTTTGGTTAAGTGATAAATGGAACGGGTGGGATATTTTCCGACGCTTCATTGGCAAAACACACTGCTCTAAACACACTTTCCTTTGGGTCTCATTATCAAATGAATGAGTAGCATACACAGTGCTCCAAATGATTTTGGACAGCAACACCTTATTTTGATGTTGTACCTCAGAAATCGTTGGTGTGCAAAAATGCTTTAAATTGTATTTTTCATCTACTGTATATCAAATGATCTTTCTAAGGCAGAGTCTCTTTTTGAACATTTCAAGGTGACAAATAGTCGACAAAGTAATCACTTTTAGGATCTTGCTGGAAAGGATTCAAAGCTTATTTGACTAATAGAAATAGTTTTGGACGATATATTCCTGCTATATTCACATTATAAATAGACTGTACTGGGCAAAATGCTTCACAATAGGCCTGTTTTCCATGAGACACAAATCAGATTGTGAACAGATTTGTTTTGTTTCCTGCTATTCCTTAAACCCTTAACAAGGCAGACGGTTGTAAACATTTTGCTAAGGGGGAGTGTCTATTATCGTCTCATTCCACATCAACTCCTCGCCTGATTAAGCTCCTAATTATGGCAGAGCTCAGTGGAACACATGGCTGAATCATTTTCAGAGAGTAAACAAGGGTGTTGGGTATCAACTTCCTGTTACAAAGCTTTAGGATATAGGCGCAGTGGATGACTTTTTACTCCTCTGGTAATCCAAAGGGAAATTAAGATGATGGGCCTTCCACAACATCGTATAGCTTTGTTGTTAGGAAATGTCCTCCTCTTGTTTCATGTTGTCATTTATTTAGACATGTTTTTGCATGTTTATCTTAGATGAATAATTCATTGCTGTGTGTATATAATCCACAGTGGGATTCTCCTAGGGATACATTGAAAAGCTGGGGCATCCACTGGAAGTATACCAAAAACAAGATGAATTTAATACAAAGAATAATCCTCTTTATGCTTAGCACTCTTCAAAGTGAGTTAAATAGGAAGATAATGTCTGAAATACGAAAATGCATGGAAAATATTGAATCATTTGTTTATTGGTTTTACCATTTTACCATAGATTATATCTTCCATTTAGTATCATATCAACCAAAGCAGCAAACATGGCATCCACCATTACACAGTGGCCTTGTTTCTTCCTTTTTTCCCTCGCCCCTTCTATGCAGTAATATAAATAAATCCAAACAGTATGATGTAATGCATTGTCCCATAGGAAGTTAATTCACCATCACTATAATATATAATATTGGGTTGGG